CCAATATACTTTCTATGCAGATGACACGCAAATCTACCTGTCCTCTCCTGATCTCTCCCTGTCCCTCTTGACTAGTGTCTCTGACTGCCTCTCTGCTATTTCTAACTGGATGGCTGCCCACTTCCTTAAACTCAACTTGACCAAAACTGAAATTCTGGTCTTTCCTCCCTCAGGTGTTGTAACTCCAAGTCAACGGTGCTACCATCAGCTCCACCACGTAGTCTCGCTGCATAGGTGTTCTCTTTGACTCCGACCTCTCCTTCAAGGCTCATGTTCAATCTATCGCCAAATCCTGTCGTTTCCATCTCAAAAACATTGCGTGCATCCGACCCTACTTAACGGCAGATGCGACTAAGTTGCTGGTCCATTCCACTGTGCTTTCTTGCCTTGACTACTGTAATCCATTTCTCAGTGGTATTACGTGCTCCCAACTTGCACCGTTACAGTCCATAATGAATGCGGCGGCGAGGCTCATCTTCCTGTCCACCCGCACCTCCCACGCCTCACCCTTCTGTCAGTCCCTACATTGGCTTCCTGTAAGATATAGGGCTCAATTTAAAATTTTGGTTCTTGCTTTCAGTCTCTATATAATGCTGCTCCCACCTATTTATCCTCCCTAATACACAAGTATGTCCCGTGTAGGCCCTTACGCTCTGCTGCAGATTTGCGTCTATCTTCTGTCTGTACTCCCACCTCTGATACTCGCCTTCAAGACTTCTCGAGGGCTGCACCATTCCTGTGGAACTCGCTTCCCTTCTCCGTTAGATGCTCATCCAGTCTCCACTCCTTCAAAAAAATCATTAAAAACCCACTTCTTCATAAAAGCATATCAATTAAACGGTTAATAGCTCCCGACTGATTCCTCTCTTGCAACTGTCATAAGTCTAATACTATCCTTACCTTCTGTGTCACTTTACCCCACTCCCTCTAGCATGTAAGCTCATTGAGCAGGGCCCTCAACCCCTCCTGTTCCTGTGTGTCCAACTTGTCTGGTTACAACTACATGTCACAAGAAGTGTTATCAGCATTCAGGATACAGAGGTCTGACGACTACAGCCTGTTTCACATAGACCACACACCAAGACCTCCAGTGTTCTCGTTATACTCTACCCCATCAGCGCTGAGATCGGACCGGAGTTTTGTTCTACAGAGAACAGTGGACGGTAAACGGCTGCTCAGCCTCTGATTCTGCTTAATGTGTTTGTGATATCCTGGAAACAAGTATCACCACTTGCTAATGTAAGGGTTTCTATTTGGGGGAAGATAATTTTCTTTTTTACTAATAAATGCAGTTTTACACTATGAAAAGCTTTTTTGTGTCCTTTTAAGGTACAATCTACATTGAGCCACAGTGTATCTACGGATATTACAATTTTGCTGCAGCCTAGGATTAACCCTCTAAAGACTCCCATTCAGAACTTTTGGACTCTTAAGCAAGTTTCAAATATATTTATGTGCATAATCTAACTTGATGTGATGCATAGAGGTGATAATATATATACCACTGAATCACAGGGATAAGTTAGTGATTTTTCACATCCTAATTGATTGCCCACTGCAAGGCTATCATATATAGTGCTGACACTTTTTTATGAACAACTACATGTCTGTTCGTCCACCCATTGTAAATCACTGCAGAATTTGATGGCGCTATACAAATAACATAATAATAATAAAAATAATAATAATTGTGGCAAACCTAGCCACTTGGGACTGCCTAAGATAGAATGGTTGTGCCTATTTTCTGTTGTGTACTGCGCGCCGGTATAGTGTGGCGTCTCCGGCTATGTTTAATTTATGCTGTACTGTGTATGTCTGTTCGAATCCTCCCCATTCGTTAGCATTGCTATCAAAACTGACTAAGTTGTATATTTTGAAGTAGAAAGGTAACGGTTTATGTCCTCGTAGTATTCATTACTGTATGTTACAGCAGGGGCTGTTGGGAGGAGGACCTGGAAACGGTAGTCTCCCTCCAGTCCCCTCAACCAAAACCCCTGCTGCCCATCTTTGGAAACCCCTGTTGAGTGACCTGCTTTAAATATCAGTTATTTTTAATAAAGTGACAGTTGAGTGACCTGCTTTAAATATCAGTCTTTTTGAATAAAGTGGCAGTTGACTCTCAGACTGTGTTTCGTCTGGTTCTTGGGAGGATTTGGGAATATTGCCTGCTTCCAGCTTTGTACTTGGTTATTGCATTCTACCAGCAGAGATCCTGGGATTATAAAATTGCAGCTCCGCAACAATAATAATGTAATAATAATAATGTAATCAGGGGCCCTCAGCCCTTTAAGAGTGCTCCGGCCTGGGCCCTGTTCATGTTGCCTGCTGGGAGGAAGTGAGGGAATATCACTTCCTCCCAAGTAACAGAGTGCCGCTAGGGAGGTGGAGGAGGCATACACGGGAGGAGGAAAGGGACTGTGGATCTGGCTTTATGTGTGTGATTATCTGACTATATATGTGTGTGTTTATCTGGCTATGTGTGTGTGTGTATCTGACTGTGTGTATGTCAGTGTGTGTATTTGGATGTGTGTGTGTCTGGCTGTGTGTGTAAATGTGTGAATCTGGCTATATGTGTCTGTGTATGTACATCTTTGTGTATGTGTATCTGTATCTGTATGAATGTATACCTGTGTATGTGTACTTGTGTATCAAAGTGTATGTGTACCTGCATGTGTGTTTCTGAGCATATGTGTGTGTGTGTGTATATATATATATATATATATATATGTATGTGAGTGTGTCAATATGTGTAAGTGTGTATCTATGCATGTGGCAATGCATTCATCCCAGCATTCCAATGCCAACACTGCACACACATATGCTAACACTGCACACAAATACACCCAAGCGTTCCAACAACATTGCACACAAATACACCACTGCATATGTGTCCGTGTTCCTGTGTGTATCTCAGTGTTTGTGTAAGTGTGTAGCTGTGTGTATGTGGCAATGCATACATCGCAGCATTCCAGCGCCAACACTGCACACAAATACACCCCTGCATGTAAACCTGTGTGTCTGTGTGTATCTGCGTGTGTGTACATATCTGTGACAGTGTGTATCTCTGTGTATGGATGTGCCAGTGTGTCTTTTTCTGTGTGTGTGCACCAGTGTCTGTATCAAAGTGTGTATCTGTGTGTGTGCATGTGCTAGTGTGTGTGTATATGTCAGTGTGTTTGTGTTAGTGTGTATCTGTGTGTTAAGATGTGTGCATGTGTCCAGGTGTGTGCATGTATCAGTGTGTTTATGTGTGTATCTGCGTGTCAATGTGTATGTATATCTGTGTTAGTATGTATGTGCATACATCCAGGCAATCAAACACACCACTGCAAACACAATCATTACATACAAACACACCCCTGAATACAAACTCCAAAATTGTATACAAAGTACAAACACACCCTTCACTCACCAATACTACACACAAATGTACATCTGCATTTAAAAGACAACACTGCATCCAAACACACCCCTGCATGCAATTACAAACATTACATACAAACACACCCCTTTATTAAAACACAAAAATTATATACAAACACCAACTCAATACACAAAAGCACAACTACATATAAAATCCAACACTACATACAAACACACACCCCTGCATTCAAATGCAAACATTTCACACAAGTACACTGCTGCATTCCAATGGTAACATTACATACAAATACACCCCTACATGCACACATATACTCTATACAAAAACATGCTTACATTCAAATACACAATATCTATTTATCTTTTCTCCACTCTTGCGCTATAGGGGAGACCCCAAAAAAATTCTTGCACCACAGCCCTCTCTACATTAGTTCCATCAGTAGGTTAGGGTGGAGGCTGTGACTGCATGCCAGGGAGCTGGGAGCTAGCGGTTGGGAGTGGTGGGTGGGAGGGTGAGGCCAGGATACAGGGGGCCCAAGCAAATACTTGCCCAGGGTTCAATTGATATTAAAGACGGTCCTGATTTTTATACCATATCTTCACTGTGGAGGATAAGCTGATGTTATATGTTTTTTGGACTCAATCCTCTAAAGTGCCATCTTTTGGTTTTCCTTGTCTTTGTTTTTATTTTTTTATTATTTAAGATGCTAGCCTGTGTGTTATTGGTAGACTTTAGGCATGTGCATGGGGAAAATTTTCAGTTCGGTTCGGCGTTCCAAAATTCGGGACTTCCGCAATTCGGTTCGGCACCTTCGGGACTTCTCTTGCAGCCGCTTAGTAGATAACTCCCTAATTCCCACGGTATTAGGGAGTTATCTACCAAAAGGCTGAAAGACCGAAATTGGTCTTTCAGCCAAATTTACTAATACTAAGTAAAAATTACTTAGTAAATTTTGCCCCTACTCCTCTCTTGATCTCTCTCCACCGTTCTTGACTCGTGTCTCTGACTGCCTCTCTCTGATTTACAAATGGATGGTTGCTCATTTCCTTAAACTCAACCTTTCCAAAACAGAACTACTGGTCTTTTCTCCCTCAAGTGTTGCTACTCCCGTGTCTGTCTCCCTCCAAATCAACGGCACCACCATCACATCTGCCTGGGTGTTCTTTTTGACTCCAACCTCATGTCCAATCACACGCCAAATCACGTCGCTTCCATCTCAAAAACATAGCGCGCATCCGCCTCTATTTAACGCCGGATGCGGCTAAGGTGCCTCCATAATGGATGCTACAGCGTTTCTTCAAACACTGGGACTGAGCCCACACCCGGATGAACCCAACATCGCCTCCAACACCCAGACCAGGCTTCCAAACCGAACAAGATCCTTCACACCTAGTGGGAAAGATAACCCGGCAGCAGTGGCTGTGACCTGACTACCTGCCATGCCCAATGCTGCATTTTGTTAAAGGACCACTCTAGGCACCCAGACCACTTCAGCTTAATGAAGTGGTCTGGGTGCCAGGTCCTTCTAGGGTTAACCCATTTTTTCATAATTATAGCAGTTTCAGAGAAACTGCTATGTTTATGAATGGGTTAAGCCTTCCCCCTAATCCTCTAGTGGCTGTCTCATTGACAGCCACTAGAGGCGCTTGCGTGCTTCTCACTGTGATTTTCACAGTGAGAGCACGCCAGCGTCCATAGGAAAGCATTGTAAATGCTTTCCTATGTGACCGGCTGAATGCGCGCGCAGCTCTTGCTGCGCGTGCGCATTCAGCCGGCGGGGCGTAACGGAGGCGGAGAGGAGGAGGAGAGCTCTCCGCCCAGCGCTGGAAAAAGGTAAGTTATTACCCCTTTCCCCCTTCCAGAGCCGGGCGGGAGGGGGTCCCTGAGGGTGGGGGCACCCTCAGGGCACTATAGTGCCAGGAAAACGAGTATGTTTTCCTGGCACTATAGTGGTCCTTTAACTGTATTTCTGTTCCGAATTATTACTGTTACTTTAATCTTTTTCTCTTGCCTCAACATTCCACAAAGCAACTCTAGCCATGATTAGGCCCAGTTTACTCTTACAGTCAAAGCCCCAAGATGGCTCATGTTAGGCGCAGTAAAGCCCGGACCCACGGGAAGGTTCCTAACTCCCTCCCCCCCGAGCCACTTAGGTTAGGGGACATTCTTCTACATGTCACAATGATAGGTACTTAACTTACTAATGATGCTGTCACCGATAGCTTCACCTGACTTACACACTCGACAATGTGACACAATATATACTCAGGATGGACTGCTTACAGACTAGCCCACTATAACATACAGATCAAGCCACCATCCACCTACGAGGTACCTATACAGAACAAGACCAACAGACACCACTCATAATGCACTAATCCAATTAACACACACATGGGAAAAAAAATAAGAGGCCTGCTGATGTTGAATATTTATAACGGTTGATGTTATACAGATATGCTTTATCTCAACATGTGAAACCGAAAAGCTTTTAAACTTTTCTCAATAAAACAATGATTGACAAAAAAAAAAAAAGAGGTGGGGTAGGGACCAGTTCACTAGGTCTGTACGGAATACTGTCAACATAGACGTTAAGTTCGAGCGATAGAGATACTCAGGGTCAGCCGAGATCCACAATCCTAGATATTTAATGGTCGTAGTCAACCTCTAAAAGGGGTAACTCAGATGGACCAGCCCAGCCCTGGATGCTGACAGGTTTCCAACCAATACGGAATAATTCATTTTAAAGGTTACTAAGGTGGATAGGGGCTGTAGTGGATGCAGAAGGAATAAGCCCTATAGGGTGCAGGATTACCCCTGCTGTAGTGGGTGCATTGGGGGCAAGGCAGTAATGGGTGAAGGGAACACAAGGTTTGTAGTGTGTGCAGGAGGATAGAGGCTGTTTGTACATGGGGGGAGGTGCTATGGGGTAATAGGGACTATAGTGGGCACAAAGGAAAGAGGGGCTGTAGTGGGCACAGAATGGATGTGAGTAATAGGGGCTGCAGTGAGTGCATCAGTGAAAGTGGATATAGTGGGTATAGGGTGATAGAGGCTGTAGTGGGTGTGAGGAGTGTAGTTGGTAAAAACGGATGGGGCATAGGTGGAGTTCCCACCTAATTCCGAGAAACCTTTTGAATAATTGAATAGATCACTCATCATTAAAATTATTTACAGGAACCAGCTGTGCACATTTCAGAACAATTACAGGAAGTAATTCAGATACGCCGGGTTTATTTACTAAACTGAATTTCAAATTTGAGGCCAGAGTAGCCAAACTGAAAGCATAGTTGGCTTATAGAATGGTTCTAGTATTTTGACCATGAATTTGAAATTCACCTTGAATTCTTATTTTAATGAATAAATCTGATACTTTTTCAGAAGGAATTCAGAAGATATATGGATAGCTATATTTTGTTTCTATATGAACTTTTAATTCAAATCTATTTTGACTAATTTAGAGATGCTCTCACTTACATTTAAATTACAATATTATAGCTAATTTAAATGTTCTGTGTTTAGCAATATCAAATTAGTATACATTGTGTTAAATATTTTGTTATTATTATATAATGTAACTAAAATAAATTCAGATAGATGATAGCGACCTCTTGTGATCCTACTTGGTATTGAACTATTTTTCTTTTACCCTAAATAAGGGCGGGTTAAAATGAATATATATATATATGTATATATATATATATATATATATATATATATATTCTTCTCTAAATTTCTCTACTGCTCTCTCTCTTTCTTTTCTCTAACGGTATCTTCATCTTTTCTTCCCTATCCCATACTTTCAGAATGTTGTTGCTAAAATTACAACTACATCCTACATGGTAGCCTATGGTCAATGCAGTTGATTAACACACCAGACAGATAAGACACTATCTTCATCTGCTTATAGAAAAGCGAAACTGATCTTACGGTGATGCTAGTAGATTGACTGTATACTATACTTTAACCAATGTATCAACACAAAATAATTACTTTAGTTCTCTTTATTTGTTTATTAATTAAAAAAAGTCAATATGGCATACTACTTCGTATGTGCAAAATATTTTTTGTTTTCCTTAATGTTATATGTATATGTAACACTCTTTGAGCCCAGAAACATGTCGAACAGCCAAGATATTATGCACTGATGTATAATGATGCAGATGTCTTGATATAAAATGTGTATTGCTAATTGAGTGTCCAAAAACAAAGAATGTAAAATAGGAGGTTTATACGTTCCTTGACTTCAAAAAACGTTTTTTTAAAAAGAATTTGTTCACTAAATTGTTAACTGTGGACATTTCACAAACGAACTGCCCATTATAGACCAAAATAGACAAAAATTGAAAATTTCTAAAGTTCTACTATTTTCAATTTCTTTTTTTGCCTTCTCACTGTTTAGAGAATAAACCCTGTAGTTTGAAAAGTGCAAATCGATAGAATGTCGTCACTTTTGATTTAGTATTTTATATTCTCAGTTTGATCTGTACTTTTTCATACACAGTTGAATGTTGAGGTTGATTTTTGTATTAAAGGCACGTCTCCTAGTATCGTTAGATGAGTACCTTGTAATTGACGTGGTATTGCCAAGTCACTTAGCTGTGTGGGTCCTTCACAGGCCAAAGCCAAGCTCTGTCTCTATCATAGTGGAGAGAAGCCACTTTGATTCTGCTGCTTACCCCTCTCAATCTGAGCTTATGCTTTCACATTTTAACTCACTTAAAAAATTGACATGCTTTCCATACAGGCAAAAATTTTATTTGCTATTTGTAAATTTAATTAATTTATAGAGTCTACTTCAGGTATGCATTTCATTGGTTTGAATTCAGCAGATATTGAGATGCTAATGCCTTTATCTAGGCCTGTGAATTCTGTGCCACAGTTTTAACAGCACAGCAGAAGGGGAAAGAGCGATAGGAATTAAAGGGACACTATAGTCACTAGAACAACTACAGCTTATTGAATTTGTTCTGGTGAGTAGAATCATTACCTTCAGGCGTTTTGCTGTAAACACTGTCTTTTCAGAGAAAATGCAGTGTTTACATTACAACCTAGTGATAACTTCACTGGCTACTCCTCAGATAGCGGTTATAGATCCTTCCTGGGTCAAGGCTGCCTAAAATGCATCCATTCAGTGTCTCCTCCCTCTGCATGCAGACACTGAACTTTCCTCATAGAGATTCATTGATTCAATTCATCTCTATGAGGAGATGCTGATTGGCCAGGGCTATGTTTTATCTGCCTCTTTGTCAGTCTCAGCCAATCCTATGGGGAAGCACTGTGATTGGATCGGGCCACCACTTCTGATGATGTCAGCAGACAGCTTGCTATTCTGAGGCAAACAGCATGCAAAGCTACAGCTTCAGGCTTGTATACAAGTAAGATTTTGCTATATTTAGGGAGGCATGAGGGGCCCAGGGGGGCTAGATGGTTATTTTAACACTATAGGATCAGGAATACATGTTTGTGTTCCTGACCCTTTTGTGTTCCTTTAATGCCAGCCTGCCTGCACAATTGCTCATTCACAAACTTGCACACTGATTTTTCACAATATTTCCTCACAATTATAAATGAATCTGCTTATTGATTGATTTATGGACTTTTTTCCCCTTTACCATTAACAGATACTTTTAGTATGCAAAGTTCTGATATTGTCACGGTTCTCGCCGCAGCAAACAGACGGCTAGACGTGGTCACCCATGGAGTTCCCAACTAGGAACTTGAACCGGGGAACTTCGCAGTCCTGGTCCTGCTTCCTTCCTCTGAGCCACAGCAACTTTTGTATTCCTCATGTCATTCTGGTCCTGTTCATCCTGGCATGTCTATTACTCTGGGGGCTGTACCTTGACTTTGGATGTGCTTCACCTGACCCTGATCAGACATTAGCAGGGTATTTAAACTCAGCCTCGCCCTGTGATCAGCATCAAGTCTTTGATCCTGTTGTGTGCTTTGTACCAGTGTTACTGTAGTTTGAGCTGCTACTTGTTATTGACCCTGGCTTCTGACTACGTTTACTCTGACCTCGGCTACTCCTCGTTGTTCCTGTCTTCTGGCATCCTTTGACCTCGGCTATCCTTTGACGATCCTGCTGTTTGAGTCCTTGCCTGTCCTGCGACTTGGTACTTCATCCTGCACAGCCCCCGTGCACAGAACCACAGGCCTGGTGAATTCTTACCTGACCACCTTGGCCTGTGGCTATCTGCAAGGGTGAGCAACATATCTGCGCTACAGACTCCCAACCCAGGTAAGACCCTGACAGATATACGCTTAGCTTGTTTGTGCATGTCCAGCGTCTAATAAAGTTTTATTTTTAGAAACCTGCTTCTCCAGTGTCTATCTATGCCGCAATCAGCTTGAAGGCCTAAATGTACAGAATTGGAAGGTCATCATTATTTAAAGCCCTTTGACACAAACTCACATTTCTAAGTCTGTGCCAGGGCTCATGTGATTTATTTTCCCCCTTTGCAGTTAAAAATGCTATGTGCTTTTAGGTATATCTCACCTGAATGAACAAAAGACTATAGTACTTTTTTGCTTCTGCATCCTAAAATTAGACATGGATTCGCTATAGAAAGAAAGTTCTAACAGCTGGCAAGTCATACAGGGTTATTCACTCAATTGAGAATTGCAGAAAATTCAAAGTACATTTAAAATTTAAGGTTAAAATAGCTGAACCGAAAAAAAACAACAACTTGCAGTTCGGCTATTTGGCCTCTCTTTAGTGAATATTTAAGTTTAAATATTTACGATTAAGTACATATGGGGGGGCGGGGCTAGCACGCAGACCGAGACAGATGCCATTTGCTGGAGCTCCTCTAAACAAACCTGAAATCTGCCCGATATAATCGAAACAAGAGCCCATCCAACCTCAAAACTCACAAAATCGGACTCTGCTGCCCGAGCTGAAAACGTAGATGCCCTTCTTTCAGCCGCAAAAACAGCCTAAACGGCGA